ATGTGCCCGCAACCAAGGTACATGCCCTTCACCAGAATTGAACCTGGGACCCTTGAGTCTGCAGGCTGACGCTCTATCCAGTGAGCCAAACCAGTTAGAGGAACTGTATTTAAAGGGCCAGAAGGTTGAGAACCACTGTGCTAGGCGGTGGCCAAGGTGACGACAGAGAGTAGCCCAGACAGGCAAGGGTCAGAATCCACTATCTCAGCAAACCCAGCAAAGATACGGAACCCTGGGCACCGGACTTTCCAACAGGGCATAGCTGAGTCTAACCAGGTGAAGCCCAGCTGCAGGAGACCAGGGCAGCCCCGAGGGTAGGGAAGTCCGCCCACAGCCCAGAGCTCTGTTCCCTGCAAAGCAGGCTAATAACAACAAGGCAACCCCCCCACACCATATGCTGCAGGCACTGATGGGCAGAGCTCCAAGCCCTGGGAGGGCGGCTGCCAAGGACAGATCGGGTGGATGGAAGCTAAGCCAACACTCAAGCTGCAGAATTGCCTCTAGGAGGGAAGAATGAAGGGCAGGAGAGGCCACAGGTCATCCTGGGCCATCAGGGGAAATGGGACAGCAGAGAAGCCATCAGGTCAGCCCTGAGATAACCAACGCTCAGACGCAGGTTTCTGAAATTGCAGATGTCCAAGTAAACGACAAACCTGTGCCCCATCTCATCTGGCTCGGTCTGCGGCCTGGAGAGGGCTGTGCCTGTCATTGGTGGTTCTGAGAGGCTGGTCCCTGCACAGTGGCACCAGCACCGTCTGGAAGCCCATTAGAAATGCAGATTTCCAGGCCCCACCCAGACCCACTGCATCAGACACCTGGGCTGGTGCAAGCCCTCCAGCTGCTGCCACCGTAAAGGTCTGAGAACCACAGAGGGAGCCCCAGTGAGAGACGTGACGGCGGACGGTGAAGCCGCGTAGATCCCAGTACTGTCTGGGAGACAAAGCTGTACATTTTTTTTTCTTTATCTCGATTTTCTTTGATTTTTCATTGCCAGTCTCAGTAACTATTTTTTCCCTCCCAATTTTCACTTTATTGCTTTATAAAGTGCATATATTCTTTTAAGTAAACTTTTTGTTTGCACAATGGAAACATTACTAACAGTGATACCTACTATGGTCATTATGCTAAGAGCTTAAAATCTTCCACCCCATACGATTCTCACAATAAACCTATAAAGCCGGAACCAATATCATGCCCATTTTTACAGATGAGAAAGTTGATGTTCAGAAATGAAGTCATTTACCCAAGTCCCCCAGGTAGGCACATTAGCATCAGAAGTCAAATGTAATGTTTGTTTCATGGTGAAACTGTGTCTTAACCACGATGTCACTGATGGGTTTACATAGGAAAACCAAGGACATGAATGATTAGCCAGTGACCGTTTAGAATCCTTTTCTACCTCTCAGGGTGACCTGCCACATCTCTACAGCAGGATTCAGAAACATTTTTCTTTATTTTTGAAAGTATTACAGATGTATCCCCTCCCCCGCCCCCCACTGACCCCTCCTCCTTGCCTCTTTCCCAGCCTGTGCAGGTCTTTGGCTCTTCTCAGGCTCCTGGAGCTACTGTCTTGCTCAGAGCCCGTTTTCCTGCTGGCCCGTCCCTTTGTCCTGTCTTCATGAACTGGAAGGCCGGACAGTGCATGGCCAAACACAGAGTGAGACCCGGGACTTGCTTAGCAACCACGCTGGTGGAGGGGGAGCCAGTCACTGAAAGGAAAGACTAGGTCAGGCCCCTGATTCTTTCCTGAAATTCAGAGGAGGCCAGAATCAGAATCTACCGCCCAAATTCCCCATCTCAGCATTCTTTCTTAGTTGTCTCTTTAAATTCTGTTCCTGTTATAGTGGCTACTGTTTGCTGCATTTCGAAAGAAAAAATCTATTGGCAGAGAATAAAGAATTCTCCAACCCTCCCTGGTCCCTTCCAAGTCCCACCCAACACACAAGGCCTTTTGCACAGGAAAGCCATTTGTTCCTTAGGGAAACACCCATAGGATCCTTGGAATGGAAGTCAAAAGGTTGGGAAACTCACAGACTTGCTTACCATCAAGTTCTAACTCAGAGGCATATCCTGTTTCTTCTGTGGACTATTCTGAGTGATGAGTTTGTCATCTGGATATGTTGGCTGAGGATTCTCACTGGGATCTTGGGCAACCCACCTAACAGTCTTCGAGTCTTCATTTCCATATTAAGTAAGCAGGGTTGGTAATATTTTCCCTTTTGTCGAATTGGGCTGTTTATTCACCTATTTGATTATACACTCAAAAACTATTGCAAAGTAGTTTAGTATGGCTCCAGAAACAAAAGCAAAAGCAACCCTAGTGGTGTTCCAGCAAGAGACCACTGGCTGATGTTTGGGACAATAGTCACTAGTATTCACTGAATATTCCTGGCTCTTCACCCTCAGTTGGCAACATACCACTTCCTGGCGCCATTGAGGTTGGTGGGCCACATCTCTAGGTCTGACCGATGGTACCTGGTATTGCCATCATGCTGAGAGCTTTAAACATGTCCTTTCTGGGTAAGGACATGTAATTGCTGGTTTGAGGCCCTCCAGAGCGCTCCTGTCCTCTGCATGATCACTGGTGAACTTGGAGATGGTGGCTGCCCATCAGCCTGGCTCCACAGTGAGGAAGTGGCTGACCCCAAAGTGGATGGCTATGGGCTTGCAGCATAAGCAAGAAAAAAACAAAGATTGTTGTTTTGACTTGGAAACCAAATTAATCAACCAATGAGCTTTATCACCGATAAACAGTTCCTGTGCCTATTCCTCTCTTTCTCGCAGTGGCTGGTTAAGCGTGAGGTCATTTTTAAAGATGCAGCAGTCTTCAGAAAAAGGAATAACTGCTAAAGTTATACTCAGATACTACTTTAGTCGCCTTATAAGGTAGGTTTATTTATATAATTTCTCAATTTACTATTGCTGTGTGACAATTTAGGATTTTTTTTATTCTTCAACCCTCTTTTGAAAGACTGTTTAAAGAACATTCTTTCCTCTCCCTGAAGAGAAATCGGTTTTTTTCCTTAAATACAGTTGCTTTTTGCTGGTTTAATGGCTTTTGCCAGTGGAAGATTCCAGTTTTCATGGCATTGGTCCTAATAAAATTTGAGGTATATGAAACCAGCAAAAACATCCTTATTCCTTAGCTGATGGGCATCAGATTTCAATCAACGAACCATCAGATTTTCATAGACTCTACATTCAACAGGAGCATTTGTATGGCTCCTGTGAATTGGTAGTAATTGGATCCTGTGAGTAAGAGTGCTAATGGTAATGATAAAGATAAAATAAGATACAACCAGGAGAAGGGCTGGTTGATCCTTGGGACAACAGTCATTCCGCTGAGAAGGAAGCCAGCTGGTGATCCTTGTGAATGCGTAGTTGGTTGGAGCAGAAGGATGACACTATTGGGACGAAATACGAAACCAGTGTGATGGAGTGGCCGGTGTGTAATGAGACCGTCTACGTTTAGGCAGAAAAGGACCTTCAACTCATGGACCCCAATCCCTTCCTTTGTATATTTTCTAAATCACTTAGGTGCTGAACTAGAGCCCCACTCTCATTACTCATGACCCATGCCCTTCTTGTCACACTACACTCTCATGAAATAGGAAGGGGAGTGTTGAAACAGTCTTCTGGGCTAATAAAATCAACTAGGTAAGATCTGATTCTCTAGTTTGTTTGCCAGGCTTGTATTCTGGCTCCATCACTTGCCAGCTGTGTGGCTTTGAGCAAGTGTTACAACCTCTCTGTGCTTGACTTTTCTCATCTCAAAAGTGGGGAGAGTAATGGCATCACTTCACTGGCCTCTCGAGAGGATTAAATGAGATAATGTATGTAAAGAACTTAGAAAAGTAAGTTATCATTGTTACTGTTATTTATACCTTTTCACTTTGCCTGTAAATAGGCTAAGAATGAGTAGAAGCTAAGGAGTAGACCTTCAGTGATTGCTCTCCACTCTGGATGTCTGGTTTCTTCCAAGCTCTATTAAGTCTGGCCCTCATCCTGGGGAGGACAGAATGCTGCTTCTGTCAGTTTCACTTGGGTGTGTGGCACTGGGTCAAGTAGCCTTGTGGAGGAGAGGGGCTGGATGCAGGCCAAGGGCTCAGTGATAAGATGGGAGGTTAGGGTCTGCAGTGGGCGAGTCAATGGCATGGTGTGTTCCGCCTGGTAAACTTGCTTCAGAGGAAAGACCCTGGAGCTGGGGATCGAGGAGGCAGATGAAGTCATGGTGAGGGGCAGGGAGAGCTGAAGGTGGGAGGCGAGGGGTGGTGAGGCATTACGGGGCACGATGGAGGCGAGGACCCCAGTGAGTAAATTACTGCACTAACAGGAGAGCAGGGGTCAGAGTGGTGATGGGCAGAGGGAATGCAGAGAAGGCAAGTCAGGGACACATTTTCTGGCCAGAGCAACATGGCAGATGGTGGCATTCTTGAGGTCGGGAGGTCTGGAAGAGTGCCAGGTTGGCCCAGGAAGAGAGTGAGCCCAACCTGGGACAGCACTGTTGTAAAAGGGAGGGGCCCATCACCACCCCATAGTTTGAACTCATCTTCTTCAAGGTAAACCCAGTGAGAAAGCAGCCATGCTCCTTGCTGTTCCCATTCACGCTGGCCAGCTCTCTGTTACTGCTCAGTGGTTTACTGCTTGCCTCCCTCCCTCCCTCCCTCCAAGAGGAGAGGAAGTAAGGTCATTTGTTCACACCCTCTCTCTGTTTATCAAGGATCCCCTATGTGCTAAGCGCTGTGCTAAGCCCTGAGCATGTAGCAGTTAATAAACCATGGGTGCCACGGGGCTTACATGTGAGTGAAGGAGAAGACAATAAACAAATCAATAGGCAATATTCAGCTGCAATATGCAAACATTTATAACAGGTGGGTGATGGTAGTTTGGGGAAGGAAGTAAGACAGGGTCTTCCTCTGTAAGGGTGGCCGGGGAAGGTGACATTTGTCAAGAACCTTGAAGGAAGTAAAGGAATGTTCTAAGCAAAGAAAATGCTGTAGGGAAGAAGGGTCCATTCAGGGGTTCAGGTGCAAAGGCCCCGAGGCGGGAGCATGCTTGGTGTGTTTGAAGAACCTCAAAGAGCCGGAGGTGCTGGAGAGGAGAACAGAGGGAATGAGGTCAGAGAGGTGGGCCCAGGTCCTGCAGCGTCTGTGGCCACCGGCAGGACTTTCCATTTTATCCTGAGGCAGAGGCTTTGGAGGACTCCAGGAGGCAGTGGCTGGTCAGGTGTACGTTTCACAAGCATCACTCTGGCTGCAGGGCAGAGAATAGATTGTCACTGGGCAGGGGCGGGAGACAGGGGACCAGCCAAGAGCTACTGCAAGTTATAAGAAACTGCAAAACCCCAACTTCCAGGGGAAATCAGCACAGAGCTTATCTCATGGAAACAAGGAGAGTGGGTGCTCCAGACCCTTAAAACTGTGGTTATTCCAAAGAGAAGCCACATTAAAAAAATTGGGTTTTTAAAAAAATAGGTTGTGATAAAAATGTCTAACTATAACAGATGGTTGCACACTAAAATTACGGGGCCTCCTTCCAGTCTCACTTCCCACAGGGCACCTTTGTTAACAGTTTCTTGTGAATTCTTGCAGAGACTTTCCATATATTTATATGCACTGTTTGTTTTTTTTTAATGAATAGGA